CTTGGAACTATCAATTTGTTTTCTGTAGCTATGAATTTGTTTTGTTTTGTTTGTTCCTTTGTTTATTTAGATTTCACATATAAATGAAATATGGTATTTGTCTTTCTCGGTCTGCCTTCTTTCACTTCATAATACCCTCTAGGTCCATCCATGTTGTTGCAAATGGCAAGATTTCATTCTTTTTTATGGCTGAGTAATATATTGTATATATTGTATACTAGTATGTGTGTGTGTGTATACCACATCTTCTTTATCCATTTGTCAGTGGATATCTAACTTGCTTCCTTATCTTAGTAATTGTAAATAGTTCTGCAATTAACAGAGGTGCACATATCTTTTTGCATTAGTGTTCTGGATATCTTCAGATAAATACCCAGAGGTGGAATTACTGGGTTTTATTTTTAACTTTTTGAGGAACTTCCATAATATTTTCCATAGTGGCTGCACCAATATACAATCATACCAACAGTGCACAAGGGTTCCCTTTTCTCCACATATTCGCCAACACCTATTGTTTGTTCACTTATTGATAATAGTCATTCTGACAGGTGTGAGGTAGTATCTCATTGTGGTTTTTATTTGCATTTTCCTGATGATTAGTGATGTTGAGCATCTTTTCATATGTCTGTTGGCCATCTGTAGGTCCTTTTTGGAGAAATGTCTATTCAGTCCTCTACCCATTTTCTCCTCAGATTTTTAAAAATATTAACCCCTTATCAGATGTGTCATTGGCAAATATATTCTACCAATCAGTAGGTTGTCTGTTCGTGTTTTGATAGTTTCCTTCACTGTGCAAAACCTCTTTAGTTTGGTGTAGTCCCATTTATTTTTTTCTTTAGTTTCCTTTACCGGAGGAGATATGTTAAAAAAAAAAGTTACTAAGAGCAGTATCAAAGACTTTCTTGTCTATGTTTTCTTCTAGGAGTTTTATGGTTTGGGATCTTACATTTAAGGCTTTAATCCATATTGAGTTTATTCTTGTGTATGATGTAAGAGAGTGATCCAGTTTCATTCTCTTGCATGTGTCTGCCCAGTTTTCCCAAAACCATTTACTCAAGAGACTGTCTTTACCCCATTGTATATTCTTGCTTCCTTTGTCATAGATTAATTGATTATGTAGTTGTGGGTTTCTCTATTATGTTCCATTGCTTTATGTGTCTGTTTTTATGCCGGTACTGTGATGTTTTAATTAATATAGCCGTATGCTACTTGATATGAAACAATACTATAACTCCAATATTGTTTTTCTCATGATTGCTGTGGCTATTTGGGGTCTTTTGTAGTTCAGTATAAATTTTAGGATTATTTTTTTCCTGTGAAAAATGCCACCAGTGTTTTGATAAGGATTGCATTGAATCTGTAGATTGCTTTGGGTAGTATGGACATTTTTACAGTGTTAATTCTTTCTATCCATGAGCATGGTATATAAGCTTCCATTTACTTGTATTTCCAATTTCTTTCTTCAATGTGTTCTGCTTTTTGAGGACAAGTCTTTTATTTCCTTGGTTAAATTATTCCTAAGTATTTTTATTCTTTCTGATGCAAGTGTAAATGGGACTTTCTTAATTTTTCTTTCTGATAGCTTGTTATTGGAGTACAAAAATGTAACTGATTTCTGAACATTAATTTGATATTGTGCTAGCTATAATGGTTTTCTTAGGGTTCTATGTAGTGTCATGTCCTCTGCAAATAACGACAATTTTACTTCTTATCCAATTTGGATACCTTTTATTTCTTTTTGATTTGCTGTGGCGATGACTTCCAATACTATGATGGATTAAAGTGGTGAAAGTGGACATTCTTGTCTTATTCTTGATCTTAAAGAAGCAGCTTTCAGGTTTGTCATACTAGTATATGACCTTTATTATGTTAAGGTACATATTCCCTCTATCCCCACTATGCTTTTTTAGAATCCACTGATATAATTTTTATCCTTCATTTTGTTTATATGGTGTATCATGTTAATATATTTGTGGATATTAAACCTATACCAGGGATATTACATCCCAGGGATAAAAACCACTTGAATATAGCGTCTCATCTTTTTATTGTGTTGCTGAATTTGGTTTACTTATATTTGGTTGAGAATTTTTGCATCTGTGTTCATCAGGGAAATTGGCCTATGTCTGGTTTTGGAATTAGGACAATGACAGCCTTGTAAAATGAGTACGATAGTCTTTTCTCCTCTTCAATTTTTTGAAGTAGTTTGAGAAGAATAGATATTAATTCTTTAAACGCTTGGTAAAATTAGCCTGTGAAACTATATGGTATAGGATTTTAGTTTGTTGGGAGTTTTTTAATTTTTATTACTGATGAATTTAGTTAGTAGTAGTAATTGGTCTGTTACAATTTTATGTTCTTGATTTGGTGTTAGAAGAGTTTGTTTCTGGAAATTTATCCATTTCTTCAGCATATAATTGTTTGGGAGTCTCTGTGCTTTCTGGACTTGTATGTCCATTTTCCTCACCAAATTAGGGATGTTTTCAATCCCTTGCTCTATCTCCTCTTAGTACCCCATATGATGCAAATGTTGGTATGCTTGATGTCCCAGAGGCCCCTTAAAACTATCCTCATTTTTTAAAAGCCTCTTTTTCTTTCTGCTTTTCTGACTGGGTGTTTTATGCTACCTTGTCTTCCAAGTTACTGATTTGATTCTCTGCTTCATCTAATCAGTTGATTCCCTCTGATGTATTCTTCATTTCAGAAAGGCTCTTTTTGTGGTTTCAATTTCTTTGTGTAAGTTCTTACTGAATTCATCCCCTAAATTCATCGAGCATCCTTATAACTAGTGTTTTGTACTCTGTTTCGGGTAGATTGCTTCCATTTTGCTTAGTTATTTTTCTGGAGTTATATCCCAGAATGTTTTGCATTTGGGAATGTTTCTCTGTTGCCTCATTTTGGCTGCCTCCATGTGTTTATTTCTACATATTATGTAGATCTGCTACTTCTTCCAATCCTGGCAGGATGGCCTTATGTAGTAGGTGTTCTGTGAGGCACAGTCTCCTGCTTACCTGAGCCTGGTTCCCTTTGTTTAGGTTTTGTGTATAGTTGAGCCTTGATTGCTGCTGTTGGCACATCAGTGGGTGGGATTGGCCCTCAGGCTGAATGTCTGTGAGGACTGGCCATGATTACACTGACAAATTGTTGTGTGGGGGCTGATCCTATGGAGAGGGAGTTGCTTTAGTGGGCTCTGGTGCCCACCCTGTCTTCCCTTTGGAAATGTCTTTTGAGGAGCTGGTTGGGTGTTGCTCTAGTGTGATCTAAGGCTGGCCACTGGTTATATTGGTTCTGGGGCCTCTTGGGTGAGGCTTTGGTATATAGACCAACTTCAGTCACTGCCTATGCCTGGCCTGGGGCCACCTGGTAGGAACTACAAAGTGATCTGCAAGTGGTTACTGCCTATGCTGGGCTTGGAGGTGCTTGGGGCTGCTTAGCCAGAGGAAGAGGGCAAGTCGTAGCTAGCTGCTGCTGAAAGAGGTTCCATCTGGGTGTGCGAGTTGAATGGGGTTTCATGGAATCACCAGGGTAGGACAAACTGTTATCTAGGTTAATGGAGAGTTCAGATTTGGCGCCCTCTTGAGCCTAGGTTGGGGGGGTAGTGCTCAACAGCATCTGCCAGCATTTCCATCCTTGGATAGAGCTACCTCTGCAGTGGAGCTCAATGCAAGTGTTTGTGAGCTACTAAGTTTGTGCTTAGGCCCTTTGAAATCTGTAGCACCTAGGTTCCTAGCAGCCCGTTGTCTTTCTTGGATACAATCCCTACTGGTTTTCACAGCCAGATGTCATGGGAACTTCTCTTCCTGGTACTAGTGCCCTGGGACTCCTCGCTCCTCAGGGTGGACCTCTGAAGCCAAGATATACATCCTGGTTCATAGCAGCCATGCTGAGTGTGGGACCTGCCCATTCTGTCTCTCTACCTCTCCTACCAGTCTCGACGTGGCTTCTTCTTTATATACTGTTACTAGAGGCCCATTGCAGGAAGATTCCTGTAAGAATAGGGCTTCCTGCGGCCCGAGAGAAGGGAGCGAAGCCCACCCTTCTCCGCTGCCTCGCTCCCTCCTGTCTCTGCTGCCTCGGGACACTCCATCGGCAGTGGAGTGGCGAGGCTGGATCGGCCGCCGGATGGGCGGATTGTGCCTTGCCAGGTGACAGGCCTGGACACTTCAGTGGTGGGGCTGAGGAGACTGGGTGCCGCCATCTTTGTGATGGAGTGACAGCTAATTTTCATATTACTCTTTTATTAGGATAGCAATTCAGTTTAGCTAATCTCCAAGTGGTTCTCAATGATGGCTGTTCTATAATTTAGTTGTGATTTTGATGTGGTTGTGGATGGAAGCACAGTGTTTACTCTGCCATCTTAATACTCTTTCTTTGACCTGAAAATGGACTCATTACAAATTATTGTTCCTTTTCCACTACTGCCCACAATCCTGATACACCAAAGTGCCACTTGGCATAACTTATCCCATGCTTATCATGGTTTATGAAAGTAGTTAAAGCATCACAAACCTTGAAGTGACTGGTACCAAGTGCTATGAGTGAAAATTTCAAGCCACAGTAGATGTCCTGGGTCAATCACTTTAAAAATCTTCCTCCGTTTTCAAGTTAAAAACTTATGAAAATTCAGGTCATATTCAGATATAGGGGAACCCTCTCTTAAGAGCACTTGTCGGTAATTAAAAAGTGATACTTACGTGGTCCTGGGGATGCCATCCCCCAATCCTCTCACCCCAGAGTTGTGTGGTGAGAATCACTCTGGTCAAAAAAAAAAAACTTGGACACAGAGTCTGAGTGGGTCTGGCCTGTCCTGCCAGACCCTTTATACATCAGAAAAACTATGAAAATGTAGTCACCTATGATGCTCCATGGAAACGAGACCATAAATGATGTCCTGTCAGTGCCATTGCGTGCCCAGCTCTTTGTGAAGTCTTTTTGAGATTCCTAATAGTTGTGGAATAACCATACGAGGTCAGCAATATATCCTCATTTTTTACAGATGAGGGAATTGAGGCCCATACAAATTCACAACCTGCCCAAGGTATGGATCCCAAATACGAACAACAGCATTCTGACTCTTGAGTCCACAGCACTATTCTGCCCCTTGTCAATTTCTAAAAGAGAGCCATTCAAAGGAAGACAGAGAATCAACCCAGGGGAATGATCTTGCCAGGTAAGACTGTTCCAAATACATACTTGTTTTATTTCTCTATTTCCATAACAATACAAAGATGCTTAGAACAATAATGGTTCAAAATAATTTCTGCATCATTGATATGTATTGTCTGCATAAAATTTAGGCACAAATTTTATGGACCCCTCAATATGAATTAAGAGCTAGAGTTCACAAAATGTTGGAGTTAGAATAATTTAAAGTTAGTAATTTTCTAGATAGGGTGGCATTTGCTGAACTGTCAGGGGTTCCCAAACATGGCTATACATTAGAAACAACTGAGAAACTTCTAAAAATATTCATGCTCAAAACCAGATGAATGAATGCCAGCGCTCTATCAGGCACGGCCTGTCTAATGCAACCCCAAGACCAATTCATTCTGAATCTTTCAAGAAGGTATTGGGGTCCTGGAATTTTGGTTGAAAACCACTGGTGCAAAGAAAGAAAAATGGACCAAAATTACCTGGTTCTGTCATTAATTCTTATCCCCAGACTTAATGAACAATTCAGATACCATTTGATTGTTATTTACATATCAAAATTATAAACAAGCCAAATAACAGAGTGGCAATACACTTTGGCATTTCCACATGAACTTATGCTGTTATTAATAATGAAGTTTCATAAAACATAGGATTATGTTGATGTCTAATGCTTAATGTAAAAAGCATGGTACAAAATTCCATATATATATATATATATATATATATATATGGCAAAAGATTGGAAGAAATACATGAAAAGTAACTGGAAAGGCTACATATTGTATGATTCCAACTATATGACTTCTGAAAGTGGAAAGTCTATAGAGGAGTAAAAAAAATTAGTGGTGCCCTAGCCAGTTTGGCTCAGTGGATAGAGTGTCGGCCTGCAGACCAAAGGGTCCCGGGTTCGATTCTGGTCAAGGGCATGTACCTTGGTTGTAGGCTCTCCCCAGCCTGGGCCAGGGCGCATGCAGGAGGCAACCAATTGATGTGTTTCTCTCACATCAATGTTTCTGTCTGTCTTTCCCTCTCTCTTCCACTCTCTAATCAATGGAAAAATATCCTCAGGTGCGGTTTAGAAACCAACAACAAAATATTAGTGGTTTCCAGGGGTAAGGAGAGAAGGAAGAATAGGCGGAGTATAGATTTTTAGGGCAGTGAAACTGTCCTGTATGATACTAAATGGTAGCTAAACATCAATATACATTTGTCCAAATCCATAGAACATACAACACCAAGAGTGAACCCTAATGTAAACTTTGGGTGATAATGTTTTTAATGTAGGTTCATCAGCTGTAACAAATGCACCACTCTGGTGTCGGATATTGATAATGGAGGAGGCTCTGTTTGTGCTTGAGGTTCAGGGGACACATGGGAACTTTCTGCTCAATGTTGCTATGCATCCAAAACTGTAAAGTTTTAAAAAGTAAAGTTTAGTAATTAGAACAAGTTATCTGATGATTCTTAGCCAGTGGGATTGTAGGTGATTTATTCCTTCTTGCAATTAAAAATATCCCCAAAACCAAAACCAGCTGAAGGCATAAGTTCAAGATGAATGAATGCCAGCACTCTATCAGGCCCAGCCTGTCTAATGCATGCCTGAGAGTTTCTTTAAGGAAATATATTGTTAGGCCTTAAAGTAGAAAGATCACATTTTTTTTCCCGAAGATGAAAATGAGCAATTGTACTCACCGTCTTTGCAGATGGTTCCCATCTGACACATTCCTAAGTCTAGGAGATACCCACTGGGGCAGCTCGTACAGTTCTTGAACCCTGGACCATTGCACGTCAAACAGCTGGTGTCACATCTATGGGGCAAATGTAGAATTTATCATCCTTTCACACATCAGACACAGGAAAAGATGTATTTACTACTATCCACCTCTTATTGCCTTAAACTTAATCTCTCTTTGAAGATGACACAAAAATCTTTTCTTAAAATAATCTTAAAAAATAAGGTTTGGCAACATTAAAGAAAACCTTAGCAGGTGGACAGTGTGATTTTAAAGTACTCCTGAGGCAATTTATATATATAAATAAAAGATAAACTGGCTTAAAGCTGCAGGGCAGTTTCCATAGGTAAATGTTCAAACCAAATTTTATTAATAATTCTAAGTTTCATATTATTTACAAAGGCAGTCAAATAAGGAACCTGGTAACCAAATGCCAGGGCTTGAGGGGCAGATCCACTTACTTTTTGCAGGATTTGTGTCCATTCTCCGAAGAGTGGTCAAAGTAATAGCTGATGCTACAGCTCTGCACACATCTCCCATCCTCCATGAAGTAGCCCTCTGTGCAGTTAATGCACCCATCAGCACCCGCCCCTTCAAAGCAAGACACAGGGAACAGAAAACCTCAGAAGCAGTTGCATGATGGGCTGCTCCTCCCACAGTTTGTGAAAATGCCATTAATATAATTTTAAGAGTTATAATTTAATACTTTTGCTTTTTCTTACAGTCTTTGGAAAAAAAGCACACCCCTGTTTTCCAAAAGCATCAAATCTTTGGAAAGAGAAGGAGATATTACTGGGGTATTCAGGTTTCTCAATGAGGATAGGATGCTGAGGCCTGACTTTTGATGAGAATACATGCATGGTTATTGGAAGAGATATTTTCAGAGTAACAACTGGAGAAGTATATATCAAGTGGGTCTGCATGAGTGACAGCTAAAAACAGACAAACAAAAGCCAAACCAGAGCCAGAGGAATAAACACAAGGACTGGGGGAGAAGGTACCAGCACAGGTGGCGCAGAAGCGGTGACAGGGCTGACAGTCCTGGCCGTTGAAGTACTGTCCGTCCTCACAGGCGATGGAACACCGGGATCCCTGCAGGCTGAGGACATAGAGTGCTGTGATCAAGGCAATGAGGTAATGACTCCCAATTCCATATGTAACAAACACAGTTCCCACCCCTCCCCCTCCCCCCCCAAGACCTGTGGATTTGGCAAAGCTTCAAAGCACGGAACTAGCCCTTGTGCCTTCCATTTTCCCCCTCTCTGTGCCGTATTATAATGATGTCTGTATCATATGCATGTGCTGCAGGCTTTGGGGACAGTCCTCTGAGCTGTTAGACTGGCTGACACATCTTACAACCCAGAGGTTTTAAAAAGTATTTTATGGACAAAACAATCGCATTACCTAATAATGTGTCTAACTATTTCCTGATATCCAGACCTACTACATAATATATTTAAAAGTTGTTTCGTAATTATAAATGCAGTAGGAACACACAGTAAATGAATTATAATTGAATTAGAGGGCACAACCATCCCTACCTAAACTCCCAGGAGTAGATTTTTTTATTTTTAAGTGTTTCTGATTTTAGTTCTTATTGGTTCCCACAACAGAATTTTAATACACTTTGCCTTTATTTCTTGATTTAAACTCTAATGAATAATTTAGCTCAGTTACCTACCTATACTGCTGCTTCCCCAAACATCTGAACTTTTCTTAGTTATATTACTATATTTAGTTTTTCTAGAGATAATCTGTTCCACCTTTTTTCCACCTAGCACACTTAGTGTTGAATATTGAATAAGGACTCTATATTTTTTCACTCTCCTAAATTCTGTCAGCCATGGTCTTTCTCATAGTCTACAGATGGATTCTGAAAATTCAAAATAGATTAATAGAATTTTCACTATCCAATATACAGACATTACTCATAATAACTAAAGTGTGACTGGAACCAGGGAGAAGATGTAATCCTGTGTCACCAAATAGAGGATACAGTGGGGCCTTGACTTACAAGTTTAATTCGTTCCGGGACGGAGCTTGTAACTCAAATTACTCGTATGTCAAATCAACAGTGAACGAGTGAGACACCTGATGCTGGGCTGATGTTGTGGCGTTCACTGTGACGTTCGCTGTGCCAACTAGCGGTGGGGTATCTGAAGCTGGCTCGTAACCCAAATTTTAGCTTGCAACTCAAAGCAAAAAATCAGCCGAGAGACTGCTCGTATCTCAAAAAACTCGTTAGTCGGGACACTCGTAAGTCAAGGCCCACTGTACTGAAGAAGTGTATCTAAGCAACAGGGTCAAATAGGTTCTCTTTTCTTAAACTCTTCACACATTGCTCCAATTCACATCTTATTTGACTTTGCTATATGTATATGTATTATACTAATTTTACAAAGTAAAATTTATTTCCATCAATAAATCTGGAAAAAACCAAAGTAGATGAAAAAGAATCCCAAATGGTCCTGCTAACATTTTAATCCATTCCCTTCCGTATTTTATGCAGAGATATTTTTCCATGTTTGTTCTTAGCCACTCTGCAAAAATTTACAGGTCTTGAGCAAAATGGTCAACTCAGAAGCCCCTAAGGAAAATACTGAGAGCCTCAATGAGAGCAGCAAACTGAAAGTGTTCTCCATTCACAGATATCCTCATTGGCCAGAGAGCTATCATTTAAAAAGAATATTCCTTCTGCCCTGGCCAGGTGGCTCAGTTGGTTGGAGCATCATCCTGTATACCCAAAGGCTGGTTGTGGGTTTGATTCCAGGTTGGAGCTTGTATAGGAGGCAACCGATTAATGTTTCTCTCTAAAATCAATTTTTAAAAAAATCCTAGGTGAGGATTTAAAAAATGTTTAAAAGAATATTCCTCCCCTTTCCGTAGAGCTGGAAAAAAGAACAATGCATCAAATGGATCTTTTTGTGGGAGGAAATAGTACCACCAAAAATTGTATCCAAGTTTTAAAAGCTGCCTAGTTTTTCTAATAAAGGACATTACCTCTGAGGTTGGCATTCACCCAGCTGGAGACAGAGGCAGCACTGTGAACCCTGAAGCTTTCTGCTGCTTCTAGCCTCAGGGATGGCCTGGTTAATGGAGCTGGTCCTGCACACCTGAGTTCTGTCCGTGATGAACCAGTGAGGTTAAACCTGTGCTCTTCCCCCCTGCTCAAGCACTGGAGCTCCTAGTGTGGCTAAGGAATGGAATTCTAAATTTTACAAATTAGCACTTAGTTTAGTTATTGGCAAAATTTTGAGTAAGTTTGGAATGGAACAACTCGGCTACTTCAACTAAATTTTATAAAATCTAAATACAGATTAAAAAATGATTGTTTGAATTGAGATGTGGTTTAGGGGTAAAATACGTACCGTATTTCTAAGACTTGGTACAACAACAAAAGTAAAATATCTTTACTAAAAGTCTTCTATACTGATTACATGTTAAATGACTTTATGAAAATATTTAATTTCGTTTTATGTGGCTACAGGCACATTTAAAATTAACATGTGGCTCTCATTTCTATTGGAGAGCACTGGTTAGCTTATGTTTCTTAATCTTAAAAAATCTTTTGTTTCTCATGGACCAATTATGTGTCAGATACTGGACTAAGTGCTTTGTAAATGTCATCATAGTTAATCCTTATAAGCCAGAACACAGGGGTTATCACCATTTTATAGATGAGAAAATTGAAGCTCAGAGTGGCTAAGTGACTCAGCCAAGGTCACACAGCCGATAAACAGCAGGGGTGGGTGAGTCCTCATCTGTCTTCCTTCTTTTTCTTATTATACCAATCTGCCCCTTCTCCAAAAGGAATTAGGCTGACTAGACTGATATTTGTCAAGACTGTCATGAGATGAAAGGTGCTAAACAAACTAACACTGAATGCATTTATGAAAAGTAAAAATGCTGTTGCAATATTACTAATGTGAAGCACTACCTGCCTGACCCTGTAATCAAAGGTGGAAGTAGAAATACCATCAACATTTAAAAAGGGATTGAGTGCAGCAGAATTCTAGCGCTGTGCAAACCCGCAAACCCAGAGTCCAGCTCCTCACTCGACGTAGGATGGTTTGACCCTAGAGACGACCTAATTCACTTGAGCTGCATGTTGTTCTCCTACAGACTCTATCAACTACAGTAAGTCCTCTCTTAATGTTGTCAAAAGGTTCTGTGACTTTAAGCAAAACAATGTATATAACGAAATCAATTTTACTATAGGCTAACTGATATAAGCCAGAGCTATCCCAGGACCTGCTGTATCTGGCTTTAGCCATGAGCAAGTCATCCATTCAAGGAAAATATCTCTAGGTGTTAAATCTGTATGCAGACAATGGCATAATGGAACCAAGCCTGAGGTTCTTAAGATAAGAGAATGACTGGCTATATGGCGAGAAATAATAAGGGGATCGTTTCTGACCATCAAAGGAATGAATCAGGAGGATTAAATGTAACTCAGTATTACCTAAACAGTAATCCTTGACTGGTGCACTGCCAGTTTAAAAGTACAAAGAAAGCCTCTGAAATGGCCATTTTATTTACTTGTATCAGAGCCATCTTTTCTAAAGAGAATTTTATTTCATGTATTAACCTTCCTTAGCCAAGATGGCATCCGATTTTTCACATATAATGGTAGAGATAATGCAAATGGGAGTCAACTCAAGGGTGATGGCAAAGGGTTATTTATACTGAGACGCTCCCTGGGCTGTGTTACTTATACAGACCTTCACCTTCTTACCTTAATCCATCCCTACATTCTGTACAATTGTGGGAGTCAGTACATGTCTTGCAGTTTTCACTGCATTTCCGGCAAATATTTTTCTCTGTTAAAAAACAACAAAAAGGTTATAAATTAGTTGGTCAATTGGATTCCATAAAAGCATGTGGAGATGTTCCAATGTATGCTGTAGTACACATGGACTTGAGCAGAAAATTGTAGGAAAAGCCCTCAGTCAACATTTGCTATCACTTTTTAGCAAAGCAAATTAGGGTAGGAATTGTAGCACTGACAAATACCTTTAGAGTTAGCTACCATTTTGCAGATAAGAGAACTACAGCCCATTTAATTCTTGGTTGCATAGTTCATTAGCCTTTCCCCTCCTCTTCACATTCTCTCTCCCAAGCAGGGTTTCCTAACTTCCAACAATGAAAAACATCCCACTAATGAAGCTGGGCAACACCACCATGTCAAGGTTGAAAAGCAATGCCTCCGGCCGGGGAAAGGAATGGCAGACTCCCATCTTTTAGGACTACTCTGATGAACTCTACTACACCACGGGGTGATACCCTTGTTAAGACAAATTATGGAGAACTCAGAAATAAGGCAAAAAATACCTGCAGTCCTTTTCAGGGCCACGACAGAGCACTAACAGGTAGGTATGCCCAAGGATCATTTAATTCTCTAGAGAATGTAGTTTTGTCTGTTTACGAATGATGGTTAATTAGTCCCCAAACTCTGTGAAATACATGCTAATTTACAGATTTTTTCGTTTGGTAAACTTGCAAATGATATGTCCATTTGAAATAAAGAACCCCAACATTCTAGCTGTATTGATGGCCATGTCGGAAATCATTTGTCTCTAACTCAGCAAACGGGTTTTATTTTGCCTTTCTTAGTGGCCTATAATCCCCTGCAGTCTCTGAACCCATTTGTTTCCCTGCAGGTTCAGTCATTAATGGATTAAGTAAGTCCTTGGCATGTGTTCATTCTTCACTTACATGAAGGTTATGTTTTTTAAAGTTTGAAAAGTATTCTTTGGTATCACACCCTGTTTCTTTGGTTAGTGTGCAGAAAAGAGCAGGCCTGGTCACTGTCTTCTGAAAGCCTACTCAGAAGGTTGCGAACTTGGATTTCAGGAGGGTTTCCACCACCCTAACAGATAAGAGTGAGTCAAGATGCTTGAACTGTTTGTATAAACAGTATGGTCCACACTGAACCCCTTCTTTCCTTATAGGAGTCTGGGAATTTTGGTAAGGGCGGGGCAGAAGGTGCCTTTATGGCCACACTCCAATAACAACCACAGCACGGAGTCCCAAGGAGGTTCCCTTGTGGAGTACATTTCACTCATGTTGTCCATGGGGAAATGAAATGTAGCTCCACTAGGAGAAAACTCTTAGAACTTTTTGGGCCTGGTTTCCAATGGACTTTGAACCTTTTCCCTCTGCTGATTTACTCTGTATTTTTTTTGCTGTAATTAATCATAACTGAGCACATAAGCACAACTATATGATGAGTCCTGTGGGGATGCCTAAGTCACTGAATCTGGGTGTGGGCTTGAGGACCCCCCAACACAGTTAGTTACAGGCCTTTTAATAAAACAATTCTAAATTGTTCTCTTTAAAAATTTGATTAGATCCTACTTGATATTAAGCAAGGCCTAGATTTGACAGGGAGGAATATTCCTCCCAAGGTCACTCAAATGAAAACCTTTCATTTGTTCTCTAAAACCAGCTATTTGAAATGAACTCACTGGTGTCCTGGTATGATCCATCAGGGCAGTGAGGGACACAGCTGTTGGTCTCTTCATTCAGGAAGTAGCCATGTTTGCAGGACAGGCACTGGTCGCCGTGGCTGCCAAAGCAGGACTCACAATTGGGAGGACACTTCCTGCACCGCTTCTTGTCGGCGTGGTAGTGGCCCGCGGGGCAGCTGGAGACACAGACCCTGCGTGGGGAACGATGAGAAGAGGGGTGGCATCACCAGTGGCCAGGTTCTCGGTCTCAAAACCCTTTTAAAACCATGATGGCGAGTAACACCACAGCCCAAGGGCCCAGTTCTGTGGGTTACAGCGTCTTCCTGTGTAGGGTGCTGATGCAGCAATGCAGTCACACAATACCAAGTCCAGGGAAGGTGTTCTAGCTCTTTAACGGGGATGATGGTTACAAATTGAGTCTCAAAAGGAAGGTTATGGCATTGAGTTGAAGGGGAAAATATGTGGGAAGCATGATTTCGTGCATAAAGGTCACTCACAAGGGGTTACTTTTATTTTGGTTTGTCACATGGATTGTGTGTGGGTGGTGGTGGTTATATGCTACTGTCTTAATATAAATATATTTAAATTATGTTGCTTATGAGAAACAAGGAACTTTTTTTTTTTAAAAGTTTGATCGAAGGACAAGGCTTTATTTATTCATTCAACAAATATTTACCAAGTACCAATTGAATGGCAGGCATTCCGCTAACAAGTCTAGGAGATAAGAGAGGTGCTGAGTAGCTCAGGGCCTTTCCTTTGAGGAATTTAAATTCCAGCAAGAACGGAAACAGGAACTGGAACATGTCTGTGTCTGTTGGGGTGACGGGAGTGTGGAGTCGCCACAAGTCAGCTCCCTGGAGGGAGAGGTGGCAAGGATGTGAGTCATGGCCTCTGTTGGGACAACCACTGTTCCATGGCCCTGCCCTTAGACGCAGAGCTGGAGGCAGAATCCAGGGTCAAAGCAGAAGAGTGAGGAGCGGGGACCAGCACCTTTGCCACGCAGAGGATTTGTTCATGTGGGAAAGCACCCGTTTGGCCTATGCACTGGCATTTTCATGAAGGGAAAATGCTAGAACACTGTCTCGTACTTACTTTATAGTGGCAGTCGAACTGACATATCATTCCATTTCAAATAATATCTGTATTCTGGAGAATAGCAAATATTATTTGATTGAACAAATATACTGTGAATACTGGCTTTCCTGTTTAATATCAAGCACAAGTCCCAATTAGGAGGGAAAAAATGGCCAATGCATGATTGCTCTATAACAGTGGTTCTCAACCTTCTGGCCCAGGGGTCCTCAAACTTTATAAACAGGGGGCCAGTTCACTGCCCCTCAGACCTTTGGAGGGCCCGACTATAGTTTTAAAAAAAGCTATGAACAAATTCCTATGCACACTGCACATATCTTATTTTGAAGTAAAAAAACAAATGTTTTTGGCAAGCCGCATGTGGCCTGCGGGCCGTAGTTTGAGGACCCCTGCCTGTATCTGGCCCTTTAAATACAGTTCCTCATGTTGTGACCCAACCATAAAATTATTTTCGTTGCTACTTCATAACTGTAATGTTGCTACTATTATGAATCATAATGTAAATATCTGATATGCAGGATGGTCTTAGGCAACCCCTGTGAAAGGGTCGTTTGACCACCAAAGGGGTCGTGACCCACAGGTTGAGCACCACTGCTCTATAATGAAACATAGTGAATTGTTATAATAAAGTAAGGCCTTTTATTTAGGTGAAACTTTTCTGGAGACTTGATACCTCCTCTGAGATGCAAGTAGATTCTCACCACATGTATGTGTCGAATTGAATGAAGCCTCTCTTCCTCCGTCTAGAAATGTTGGTGTTCTTCAGGGTTCTGCAGAGAATCACTTTTCATCTTTCTGGTGGTTTGGGGTATCTATAGAGTTCTCCCTCAACACTCCATTTCAAATGAATCAATTCTTTTTTCTCTGCACTTTGTAACTCGATATCAGTTTCACCATTTTGAATTACACAAGGAGGTATCAGGCTTGTACAGCAGCACGTTTTCTGTGCTTTTATGTCTTGATGGGGAACCCATAATGCCTGGCCCGCAGTGACCCTGTGGCAACTCCCTGGGTATGCTGAGGGCTCGTGACTTGGCTTTTCTCTTACCTGGTGTTGTTTTTCAGCTTGTAGTAGTAGTGCAAACAGTCATTGCAGTGGTCCGGTCCTGGCCCATCGCAGCCGACTTCACTGCATTCAGGGTCGCAGGGACCTTTCCAGAAGAAATTAGAACAACATTTAGAAAAAAATGATTTTAAGTAGGTTGGCTTTACCTTGAATTTGGTATAAAATATTTTTTTCTTACACAGTGAAAGTTTAAGAAGGAGGAATAATGTTCAGAGTGACTGTAAGCTCAGAGACTTTTGGGGGGAAAACCTCAAGTATCAAGAATGTAAATCCTAATCATGGCCTGGTCTTCAAAGCACGTATGGCTGCCTTGTGGGAGCTAACAAGTATTTCAGGATTCAAATGAACAATGCCACTGTAGTAAATGGAAAAAACCCGATCACAATTAAACATGCAAACGATAAAAAATGTTGGACTTACAGAAAAAGAAAAAAAGTGATTATTCAATGCTTGGGCCAGATTGCCTGTCTTTTCCAAGCATTAAAGCCACAGAATATCTCTGAGATACTGTAGCTAGCAAGGAATAGCATTATGGCACCTGGCACAAGCTTACCGGTTTCTAACCCTGGATTACAAAGCAAGTACTTCAGGCACAGATAATAGATTTAAAATTGCATCCTACTCCCAGGCCAATGGGCAACTCAACAAAAGAAAAGTACACATTACTTTTAAAAATGCGATGAAGGTTCCCAATCTCTCTTCTTATGTATTCTTCAGTATAGAACTATCAAGAATGCAGTCAGGAAAAAAAATCCAGAAAGATGGAACTATCTGGTGATTGGTGAAAAAAGCGTTCTAATGATGAGGGACAGTTAGACATTTTGCTCTACTGAACTAACTCCCTTTTTCCTTGTTCTCTATATTTTGGTACATTTGGTCTCATAATCTTCAAGCTCTTTCCCATTGAAAATTCATATGATTTTAACTAGCAGTACACATAATGCTTGAAATGTACAAACTACATGTCAGTGGTGCCAGAAATGTTTTAAACCAAACTTTATTTTAATCAAAAGGACTTACTGGTTGAAATGTGGCCTCCTTTAATCATTGTGAGACTATGTTCTACAATTACTGCATCATGGGAACGTGAAATGGTAGAACTGGGGAAGAATGACTCAGAAAAATCTAGTAGTCAACACCCTCGTTTTACTGGTGAGAAAACAGATTTTCCAAGAGTTACGATGGATTGCCTGGCAGCAGACAGCTGGAAGAGTTGGGATCAACATATGTCCTGATTTCCTATCCATGTCTCCTACTTAGAGTAAGTCACCTACTAGAGATGAATGGAAATGAGTCATTTTGAAATACATTCCTGATAAAAAATGCTGTCAAGTGACTCTTGTGGTTAATCTCTGTTTTCCTAAAAGCCTTAAAATTGGCCTCTTAATTAAATTCTATAGCCAGTCCAACCTGGGACAGGTTAGCTGTCCGCTATGGTACACAAGAAGAGGGTGTGTCCGCCATGTAAGGGTTGCTATTCAGCCAGCTCTGGGTTCCACGCTCCCTGGAATTCAATGTACAGTACAGGGATCTGGCTGTGCTAATGCCATCTGTGCCTCTAGCCAGCCTGACTTCTTTAGAAAGGTAAAAATCCCAGCTCCAAAGGAAAGGAGTCACGTTGGCCCTAAATATTCACCAGATGATTTTTATAATTACCACCCCCCCCCCAAAAAAAAACCCCACAACAACAACCCATTTATTCTTGATATGTGCCAAAGGACCCTGCATGGTAAGTTCACATGCTGTGCTGATTCTTTTATAATTTAAAACTGTCCCAGATGCAAATTAGCATTTTAGGTTGCAGGGTGAT